CACTGCATCTTTTAAGAAGGCAACTGATACTCAAAGTGGATATTTGCTTTTTCCAAGGTCGTTTGAGCAGAAGGAAAAATTAAGGACTTTACATCATGGCAAGTGAGAATTGGCTGCCTCTCAACTAGAGTGCTTTGCATTTAATAACTGATGGAAGGGAAAAGGGACCTTTCTAAAATCGCTGCTGAAAGACACAGTGTGGTACTGTGATTTTTTTCAATACTCTTTGCAAAGTAAGCTAAAGCTCATCTTTGAAAGAAGCATGAGTAAAATGCTTTTCCTTACTTTTCTTCTAAGTCTGTCTTTTACTCATGTCTTTGCTGAGTCTGCATATGCACCATCCATGCCAATTGCTAAGGCATTAGCTGATGACCTGCAATCTGGGGAAAAGGGTCAAGTGAGAGATTAGAGCTGAGGGGGGAACCTAGGGCTTAGAGGGAAGGGGTGATCCATGAAACGGGTTTCAGCCAGCCTGACTCAGTATCACCAGAGGTGTATAAAAAGGATTTTGTGATGTTTAGATTTTTGTGAAATGAAGTTATGTACCTTGATACAACATTTCCTAGTTTCTAGAACAGTCCAAATCAGCAAATTTGAAGTTACCTTCAATATGACTAATATTTTTGGTTTATGTAAAATTTCATTTCTGTGATAACATTATAGTGCTTGTGTTTAACATATTGCATTAAATTTTGTGCTGTTTTATGGAATTCCTAATATAATGCTCTGAATCATATATGAACTCTGAAAACAGACCTTTACTTTTAATTTATTTTATAAAGCATTGTTAGTCTTCCTTATAATTCAAGGTTTGGTAATTTATGCCAAAACTTTTATCGAAAGCATAGGGACTTCCCTGGTGGCACAGTGGTTAAGCATCTGCCTGCCAATGCAGGGGGAACGGGTTCGAGCCCTGGTCCGGGAAGATCCCACATGCCGTGGAGCAACTAAGCCCGTGAGCAACAACTACTGAAGCCTGTGCGCCTAGAGTCCGTAAGCCACAACTACTGAGCCCTCATGCCACAACTACTGAGCCCATGAGCCACAACTACTGAAGCCCGTGCACCTAGAGCCCGTGCTCCGCAACAAGAGAAGCCACCACAATGAGAAGCCCGCGCACCGCAACCCCCCGCTCGCCGCAACAAGAGAAAGCCTGCGCGCAGCAACGAAGACCCAACGCAGCCAAAAATAAATAAATTAATTTTTTTAAAAAAGCAAGCACAATAAAAACACTCTTTAAAACGTGGTGGCATTAAAACACTAAAGATATTCTGACTTTAAAAAATAAGTTAACTAAATAGAGTAGATCTAGATTAGATTAGGGAAAGATTGTGCTTCCTCCTGTTCTTACTTCTTCTCACCTTGTAATCCCATCATTCAACTTTCAGTGACCAAAGATGTTTTACGTTTCTTCTAGATACCAAACAATATGGTAGGTGGAGTGTAGGCATTGGTGAGAAAAGCAGACATCGACCCTATAGAAACAAAGGGCAATGTATATACAGTAAACAAAGAAACATAAATAAATGAATGAATATACAGTTACAAACTGTACTGAGCTCTAGGATGCAGGAATGAGGGGATGGCATACACTTTGTTGCCTCCCTCGTATCCAAGTTCCCCTTTTTTTCCTTAGCAACAAAACTATAGTTTTTGCTGTTGGTGGTGGTGGTATGGGGATTTTTGTCTGCTTGTTGGTTTTTCAGAGTGGATGCGGTGACAGTATGCCCTACCTAAAAGAACTACTTTTCCCAGAATCCTTTTTAACTAGAGTGAGCCTGTCACTGAGACCTGGCCAATCAGGTGAGAGGAGGCATGCACTCTTCTCTTGGTCAGGAACACGGACGAAATTCTGGAGTGGAGAGTGGTCATGTGGGGACTGTAGGGCGAGAAGCATGAGTGCAAAGATAAATGGAATCTGGGTTCCCATTCCCGGGCTTAGTGTTACATGGCAAAATATGTACAGACATTTACTTTAAAATGTGTATTAGTTAGGTTTTCAGGCTAATCCAGGCTGGGATGTGAGTGCTGAGAACTTGCTTAGGAAAGAGGTAGGAATTAAATAGAATAGAATTAAATATAGGAGCACCAATAATTCTCTGAAGTTGGTCGGTTATGTCTATACAAATGCTTAAGAAAAACAAACTGAAATTTTAAAAGACAAAAATACACCATCCCTACACTTTTTTTTAAAGAAAAAAGATAGGATATTTGGTACACACCCATATTCACACAATATATTTAGCTGTCTACTTCTCTTTATGTGTGCAGGCCTATATATTTAATGAGTAAAATGGAAATATCTATTCCTTAGGTTAAGTTTTCATGTCTACTTTTGACTAAAATAATAGTTTTCAACTTTTGTTTGTAATATTAGAGGATACAGTGAGCCTCACCCCAGCCCAAATGAAGCTTAGAGACTCTGATTTAGTAGGTTTGGGTGCCGTGAGCAGGGCCACGACGTTGGGAGGTTGAAAAATCCCCCCATGATTTTCATATACAGCCGGTGTTGAGACTCACTGACCTGGAGGAATAAACTGTACTTGGGCCGTTTGCATACCTGACTTACCTGTGCAGAAAGGGCAGTCAGGGAGAAGAATCTAGGGGCTAACAACTTCCTGCATCCTATCAGAAAGAAAGTCTCCATTCAAGTTCTGTCTTCATTAGGAAGTAATTGAGTGATCTTGAGAAAACTATCGAATCTTTCCAACCCTCCGTTTCCTCATTGTAGATTAAATGAAATAATAGAGGCCATGCACTTACCAACCAAATATGATGCACATGCAACGTATTTAAGATCTGTATCAGCACAATCAAGTTTCTGCATCCAACATAATCACACGAAAATGACTGACATTTTGCGATTTGGAGGATACTTTGGGGATGGTCTCACTGAAAATACAGACAATGGGAGATGCAAAAATGTGCTTTATGAGCCCCACAGAGACACTCCAAGAGTCAGTAACCAGCGCACTTGAAACTAGATGCAGTAAGAAACCTTTGTGAATGCATTTGGAGGACGCACGTCATATTAAGATGCTATTGAAAAGTAAAAAACAAAATTTAAAGACAGCAATTTCAAATATGAACCTCTACTAAAAGAATCCCTAGAGCAGGCCTACGCAGTTGCAGGCTCTGATTTGCAAGCTAGCTGCTCCTTGCAGGACAAGCCTGTGTAGCTGCTCCATGGCGGGTCTCAGCGGGAATGTTATTTACTTAACCGTGGATAATGGTTTTTCAGAGCAACCCCAGGGAAGCCAGCAAGCAAAAGTTCCTTCATTGTGATAATAGTATCATAGTCTTAGAGTTAAAATAAACACTTAAGACCATCTACCCTGACCTGTTTATTTTAAAGATTTAAAATCCATAGCCTGTGGGTTCAGTGCCTTGGTTAACTCACTCTAGACAGTTGATGGAGGGCAATTACAAGCCCCCAGGCTTGTTGATGTCAATTCTAGTACCCTTTATATTTCTCTTAGAACTGTGCTTTCCGATCCAGCAGCCCCAAGCCACGTGTGGCTTTTAAGTCTTGAAATGTGGCTAGTTTGAGTTGAGATGTGCTGTCTTAGTACATTTGGGCTGCTATACAAAGTGCCATAGACTAGGTGGCTTATAAACAACAGTGATTTATTTCTCACAGTTCTGGAGGCTGAGATCAGGGTGCCAGCATGTCAGGGGCTACTGAAAGCCCTCTTCTGGGTTGCAAACTGCTGTCTTATTATATTCCTCACATGGCAGAAAGAGAATGAAAGGACACTCTTTGGTGTCCCTTTTATAAGGACACTAATCCCATTTGTGAGGTCTCTATCCTCATGACCTAATCACCTTTCAAAGGCCCCATCCCAATCTGAACCACAATGGGGGTTCAGATTTCAACATATGAATTTTAGGGGGACAGAAACATTCAGTCCACTGTACATGCTGTAAGTAACATATACCTCAATTTTAAAGATTTAGTATGAAAAAATAGAACACAATATTGTTATGCTGATTACAGGTTGAAATGATAACATTGGGGATACATTTGGGTTACAGATAAAACATATAATTAAATTAATTTCTTCTTTTTACTTTTTGAAATGTAGCTACCAGAAAATATAAAATTACATATGTAACTCACATTTTATTTCTGTTGGACAGCTCTGTCTCAGATTCCTTGCACCAAGGCAAGTTAAAAGAACCAGGAAACACAATTTAAAAGATTCACAGTCATTTAAAAGTTGCAAGGACATGGTAAGAAATAAAGGGAGAAAACTTCATAGAATAAAGATCTGTGTAGTCAGGTTTAAAATTCTAGATGTGTTTTTCAAATGGCTCATCTTCTAGAAACATGGAGAAGTCATTCAAAGAAAGAAAATGGGAGCGTTTCATTCAGTGATTTAGGGGCAAAACACATCAACATTTAGAGGCTACCAGCTGTTCTCCTTTCAATGTGTCTTGCTTCCGCTGCAGGGGGGAAAATGTATTACATACAGATTACAGTAAGTCCCCTACGTACGAACGAGTTCCGTTCCGAGAGTGCATCCGTCCAATTTGTTCTTAAGTCCAACAAAGTTAGCTTAGGTACCGAACTAACAATCAGCCATATAGTACTGTACTGTAATAGGTTTATAATAAGTTCGCATCTTTGAAAGTTCGCAACTTGAAGGTTCATATGTAGGGAAGTTACTATATAACCCTTAACTGTATGCTTCTTACAGTCATTGACAGACATCAACATGACTCCTAGAGAAAGTTATAGTAAGGATAAGTTATTTTTATCTGAGAAATGCCTAGCAAACCTGTATTTTTCTTTTTTCTCTTCTTAAATTATCCTACAATAAATTGACTTTTTATATATGTTTGTAATACACATGTTTGTAGCAAACAGTAGGTTCAGTCAATGTGCTACTACAAATTAGACTGCTGTTCAAGAGAGGGGTTAGGGAGGGGTATCTGTCTAGCTGGTTTTCTTTCTTTCTTTCTTTCTTTTTTTTTTGATGGAGATTTATTTCTTTCAGGTTTAAGATGGAAATGGAAACCTGTACCATTATTCATTTTGCATCACAGTAAGTAAGCTTCATCACCAATGGAAGTTTTAATTTCTTTGTGGAAATACATTCCTTGCTGATTAATTCCATCTTCCCTTCATTTTCAAACTGCAGAAGATTTGCTTCAAAACCCAAAGATCAGGTATATTTCATTCTTTATTGAACCAGTAACAAAAGAAAATACATTTATATTATTCAGGAAGCAATCATGGAGATACTTTATAGCTCATTTGTGTCAATATCAAACTAATTCAATAAGTCAAACATGCTGCCCTTTAACCATGGAAAACTGTAAGGTATTTCAGCTGAATAAATTAAGGGCAATTAACTAAAAAATGAGCTACACACATGAAGCTCATTATTTTTAAGTTGAGGGATCCTTTTAGTTTATTAGAATTGTTTTTTTTTTTGATATGCCAGATGCCTGTTTTGCCCAACAAAAGTCAAAACACCTCAAAGTATAAAAACATGCACCCCATGTGTTATATAAACTTGACTTGATAACTAACATCAGCCATGTCATTTGCAGCTTTTATCTTGGTGAAAAATACATATTACTCGTCTAAAGGAAAGGTGCAAGTTTAGAATGCCAGAAATACCCAAAATATTAAAATCCAACACAAATTGGATTCAATTGTATAATTCATGCTGGAAAATCAGTTAAGATCAGGAAGAAACAAGTTGGACATTGGCCAGAAATTCCTGTAAAAGGAATAGACAAACCACATGCTGGTTGGCTTTTCTAAATATGGACAGAACAAAGAGGATGTGTTTTGTACAAACGCCTGTTCTGGGCACAGACGTTTGTGACTACATGTCATTTTCCTGAAACTTTTAGTAAAGCATGTAGATATTTACTGACACTGCCTTAGTCTCCTAATGGTTCTGCCAGCAATACTAAATGTTGGCTATTTATGTGCCCATGTTAGAGGAAATTTAGTCAATCACGATTGATTTTTGCCAGTGGATGCCCGTGAATGGGATGAACAGACTAAATAATCCAAAACAGTGGATGAAATGAAAAATAAGTTGGGTTCTACAAGGCCCCATGTTCTGCCATGTTTGTTGGTTCAGCTATGTGTGAATGTATGGTCATTAGACTTTTTGTTCACATCAGAAGATTTGCATTTCCCGAGAATCTGGCAACTATTATAAGAACAATAATCTCAGGAAAAACATCTTGGGTGATTGATATGAATTTGCCATGGATTAAGATGTTCAAAAAGTATTATCAGAAAAATATTCACTGAGCATCTTTTAGCATTCTAGGTGTTCAGGATACAGAGGTGATTAAAATAAAGACCCTGCGTGTATTCTATCCAGAAGGATGGCAGATAAGTTATAAATAAACATACTAACGATGTTACATTAAGGTTCTGTGAAGTTAATAATGGCATAGGTGGCCTGGGCCAAGGGCAACTTCAGTCACAGTGGGACAGCCTCTCTAGGAGGTAATTTTGGTTTTTTTAACTGTGAATTTTGAAAACACATCAAATCTACAAAGTGTTGCAAAAATAGTACAATTAACTGTGTATTTCCTTCACTTTGCTTAGCCAATTGCTAACACTTTGCCATGTTTGCCGCATACTTATCTCTGTATTGTTCTTACCCAATTAAGAGCTTTGGGTATCTTGAGCCTTCACTCATGTTATTCATTCCTAAATACTTCAGTGTGTATCTCCTAAGAACAATGCCATTCTAGCAATCACCATGGAACGGTATCATATTTAGGACATTTAACACTGATGCAAAACTAAAATGTAAAATACAGTGCATATTTTAAATTTGCCAGTTGGCTCAGAACTGTCTTTTCTAACATAAGGAAGTGACTCTGACTAATAACTAATTGATGAGCTAGACACAGCCACATAAAAGGGGTTTCCAGGAATAAAGACAGAAGGAATAGAAAATCCAAAGAAAGTTATATAACATCTGTGTAAAATATTTATTTAAAAATGACAGTTCTAGCCAATATTCTAGGAATTATTATATTAATAACCAAAATCTGGCTCTACATATGCTAGTTAATTTGTTAAATTTTATGTAAAATTCTATGTAATAAGAAACCTTGTCCAAATGGATAGTCATTTTGTTTCTTTTTGGTTTTCCTCTATTTTACCCATATGCACTTTTTACCTGGTCCTCCCCCCATCGTCAATTGCAGTAATCTGCCAAGGAGCGCCACCAGTAAGATTTAGGGAAATTGTTGCCTGCAGAATTTGAAACATGGATATGAGGTATTTGGAAGCAATTTCTGATAAGAGAGGCCTATAAATTGCTACCCCAAGGTACAACTTGCACATTACCCAACAAAATATTTTTCTTTAAACAAGATTCAGAGGGAGGAGGGATGTATTAGCCATGAAACTTAATGGACTAAGGTGCCATTACTTATTAAATAGGACTATTTATATGAAAAATGAACATTGAATGTACACATGGGGATAGTGTAATCCATTTATCTTATCTACATACACAGAAGATTCTGACCGTAATGGACCTGGTGGTCCCTTTTTGCTCATTCCATTTGCTTGAGTACCGTGTCTGGATTAATAAAAAGAGCATATTTTCCCAAATGAACATAGACAGAAAGGCAAACTGGCCCTCCCCTAAGGACAGAGAGATACCTCTAGGACTTTCAGAGGGACCCAAGGTCAGGTGGCCCTCACTTGGGACCACGGAAAGATTGTAACATCTTTCATGTCCAGCAGAGAAGCAGGCTGGGATGTCTGATTCTTTCTAACCTTTGAAAACCATAAAATAAATCCAAAGCATCATAGGCCATCTGTTACTTACAACGCAATATCTACGGATAAATCCGAGCAAAGGGAAAACTATTACCCCCACTGGGAGAGAGTTGCAGTTAAATTTCATTCCACTTCACTTGCCTGATCCCTGCCCAAGATATCATAAAAAAACCCTCGTATACAACCCCCTTTCTTCACCCTTGAATTAATCGCTCCTCTTAATGTCTACATTTTATATATTTTTTAAAGTACCAAGCTATAAGCAAGAGTGATGGGAACTCTGAACAAGGAAATGTCACATACACATTTTTTTGTCTTATTATTGACATTTACGGCAGGCTTAAAAAAAAATAACTAAAAATGCCTGAAAGACCAGCAAGAATAGATGATTAAACAAATTCACCTAATAAATATTAGCCATATTAACCGCATTAAAAAGGAATGTGGATCATGTATGCCTCTGCTAAAGGAGAGCCATCATGGAAGGGAAAGGACATGACATGACAACACAAACCCAGAAAGTCAATTGCCGAATTATACTCAGAGGAGTCCCTTTTTTTCTGTAAAAGCAAGAAGGCAAGCACTGTGTATGATTGTGTGCCACTGGATGGGTGTGTGTGTGTGTGTGTGTGTGTAAAGAGAACCGTAGATTAAAGAACTGAGCTGTTCACAGTAGTTCCCTTTGAGACGTGCTATCGAGACCTGACAGTGATGGGGAGAAGAGTGCCTTTTTAGATTTATACTCATTTTTATGTTGTGTTAAGCCCATATATTGTCATTTAAAAAATAGCAAGGACACAATCATAAGGTAATAGAGAGAAGTGGCAGCTTAGCAAATGTCCAGCCTAGTTCCATATTCTTTGGACATATCCCTTTTTTTTTTTAACATCTTTATTGGAGTATAATTGCTTTACAATGGTGTGTTTGTTTCTGCTTTATAACAAAGTGAATCGGTTATACATATACATATGTTCCCATATCTCTTCCCTCTTGCGTCTCCCTCCCTCCCACCCTCCCTATCCCACCCCTCCAGGCGGTCACAAAGCACCGAGCTGATCTCCCTGTGCTATGCGGCTGCTTCCCACTAGCTATCTACCTTACGTTTGGTAGTGTATATATGTCCATGCCTCTCTCTCGCTTTGTCAGAGCTTACCCTTCCCCCTCCTCATATCCTCAAGTCCATTCTCTAGTAGGTCTGTGTCTTTATTCCTGTTTTACCCCTAGGTTCTTCATGACTTTTTTTTTTTCTTAAATTCCATATATATATATATATGTGTGTGTGTGTGTGTTAGGATACGGTATTTGTCTTTCTCTTTCTGACTTACTTCACTCTGTATGACAGACTCTAGGTCTATCCACCTCATTACAAATAGCTCAATTTCGTTTCTTTTTATGGCTGAGTAATATTCCATTGTATATATGTGCCACATCTTCTCTATCCATTCATCCGACGATGGACACTTAGGTTATTTCCATCTCCAGGCTATTGTAAGTAGAGCTCCAATGAACATTTTGGTGCATGACTCTTTTTGAATTATGGCTTTCTCAGGGTATATGCCCAGTAGTGGGATTGCTGGGTCATATGGTAGTTCTATTTGTAGTTTTTTAAGGAACCTTCATGCTGTTCTCCACAGTGGCTGTATCAATTTACATTCCCACCAACAGTGCAAGAGGGTTCCCTTTTCTCCACACCCTCTTCAGCATTTACTGTTTCTAGATTTTTTCATGATGGCCATTCTGACTGGTGTGAGATGATAGCTCATAGTAGTTTTGACTTGCATTCCTCTAATGATTAGTGATGTTGAGCATTCTTTCATGTGTTTGTTGGCACTCTGTATATCTTCTTTGGAGAAATGTCTATTTAGGTCTTCTGCCCATTTTTGGATTGGGTTGTTTGTTCTTTTGTTATTGAGTTGCATGAGCTGCTTATAAATTTTGGAGATTAATCCTTTGTTAGTTGCTTCATTTGCAAATATTTTCTCCCATTCTGAGGGTTGTCTTTTGGTCTTGTTTATGGTTTCCTTTGCTGTGCTTTGAACTTTCATTAGGTCCCATTTGTTTATTTTTTATTTTATTTCCATTTCTCTAGGAGGTGGGTCAAAAAGGATCTTGCTGTGATTTATGTCATAGAGTGTTTTGCCTATGTTTTCCTCTAAGAGTTTTATAGTGTTTGGCCTTACATTTAGGTCTTTAATCCATTTTGAGTTTATTTTTGTGTATGGTGTTAGGGAGTGATCTAATTTCATACTTTTATATGTACCTGTCCAGTTT